CAAATTACTCATTGCAAGCAGAGTGTCAGGATGTTCATCCCCAAGAATTTTCTGTGTCTTCTCCAGTACCACAGCTTGAAGCTCTGCAGCCTTTTTGAGGTGGCCTAGGTCCCTGAAGGTTAAGGCCAAATTGTTCATAGAAATTAGTGTGGATGGATTGTCATCCCCCAGAGTCTTCTTGTCTTTTTCCAACACTACAAGTTGAAGCTGCTCAGCCTTCTGGAACTCGCCTAAACACTGGTATATCAATCCCAGATTGTTCATGACAACTAATGTCTCTGGATGGTCATCACCACTGATCTTCCTCCTCTTATCCAGCACAGCAATCTGAATCTCCTCAGCTGCCTTAGATTGACCTAGCCCACTTTTTGTCAGTGCCAAATTATTCATGGCAAGCAGGGTCGATGGATGGTTTTCACCAAGAATCTGTCTCCACTTTTCCACCAGCACAGTTTGGAACTCTGCAGCCTCCTTTAGCTGGCCAAGACTCACATATGTCCATGCCAGATGCCTCATAGTAGCCAGGGTGTCTGGATGATCTTGACCAAGATGTTTTTCTCTCTTTTCAAGAACCAGGATGAGAAGCTTTTCAGCGGACTTGTACTGGCCTAGTCTCTCATATGTAACTGCTAGATAATCCATCACATCCAGGGTTGCTATGTGGTCCTCCCCCAGAACCTTCCTGTGCTTCTCAACCATCACAACTAGAACCTGCTCTGCCCTTTTATAGTTGTGCACCTTTAAAAACATCTTCCCGTATTGTGCCCCGAAATCCATATGCAGTTCATCATGTGTGAGGGAATCAATGTGTGGGAGCAATGCTAGACTAGCCAGCTCGATATCATCATCGGATATGGCATCAATGGACATTCCCACTAGAGCAGTCATGCAAGAATGGTAAGACTCCTCATTGGTGAGTGTATTCCGACTCCAGGTGTGCACCAGGGGATGAATTGAAAACATATTTCTAGCTGCATCGAAGTTGATCAATGAATATGCTTGAAGTTCATTGGTAATGGTCCAGAAGCACAGAGAATTCCAGGCACCATTGGGTTCTAGAAAATGGGACAAGAACTCAACAGGGATCTGCAGCTCTTCTCTTGATGGACCATAGGTTGGAAATCTGTACAGAGAGGCATTTTTGAAGATTTGTTCAGAGATGCCTCCATGGTGAAGAAATGAGCACAGCTGCAAAAGCATAGCAGCTGGCAGGCTGAGCTTAACAAAGCTAATCTGCCATGTTGTATAAACTGTCCAGGCATAATCATCATGAGACTGAGCAGGTTTTTCCCTCAGGAGCTGCTCTTTATTCTTCATATAAAGGGCCAAATAAGTATTGAGAGATCCAGATTTCAAGATGAATGCACCAGCTTGGCCAATTGCAAGAGGCAAATACCACAATGCCTGGCAAAATGAGTTAAGAGGATACAGAGAGAAATATCTTACTGACCTTGACAATTTCACTGGCAATGTTTTGATTCGTGGGGGTGATCTCTTGAGCAGCACTTCGGAGCAGTAGCACCACGGCATCTGACTCTTCCATATCCGAAACATGGGAATGTTCCCCATAACATCGCAGTTGAGGATTCCGCGATGTGATGAGGATGTTCCCATGATTGCACCGAGGGAAGAAATTGTGCAGATCAATTTTTGGATCATCTGCATTATCAAAGAACAGCAGCCATTCATTTTGTTTGCTGCGAAGCCAGTCCAATGCATCTTGTGCAGTGTTCCCAATCTGTTTTGCAGTAGCTATACTCTTGAGGCCTGTATCAATTGTTTCGGGAGTGCTCGTGTCAATGAGGAAGGTATCAGTGAACCTAAGAGGATTGGAATCAACCCTAATTGTTGAATAGGAAACAAAAAACTCACTTGGATGCTGATTGAGCAATGAATTGGAGAGCAATTTGGGTCTTTCCCGAACCACCGAGTCCATAGAGCACATATATGTGCTGTTTCCCTGCATCATGAGTAAAGTACTGATCCATCTCTGCAAGGACAGCTTGTCTTCCGTGGAATATTCGGGATGGTGGCGGGCAATTGTTGATCCTCTGAGTTGCTTGGGTGACAGACAAATCTGGAAGGATATTTAAGATTTAAGAGCTTCAAAAGACATAATAAAGATACCTGGGGCGATTGTTGCAAGGGTTGCATGGATCTTGTGCACTTGAAAATTTGTATCAATGGCTGCAATAAGCTCAAATGGGCATCAGAAAAATGTTCTTTGGATTGCGTGAATGTACCTTGAGATTTGAGCAAAGTGTTTGGACCTTGTTCTGATATTCGCTGATTTTATCAGTGATATTGCTTGACTTGACCATTTCCTTGAGATGACTACGGAAGCCTCGGGGAGCATCTTCCCATTTCTTTATTTCATCCACAATTTTTTGCAAGGCACTGGGTGACAAGCAATGGGCACAAGGGGCTATGTAACAAATTGTGTCATTTACCTTTCGAGATCCTCACAGACATTCTTCAACTTCTCAGCAGCGGAAGGCCCATGAGATGATATCTGGTCTTGAACAATCTTCATGATTTCCATTGAATTTTCACACAGCTCCTTCAGCTCATCCCGATTCTTCTTTGCTTTCTGCAGGAACCAATCAGTTAAACATACTGTTTATGAGAACCAGTAGATACCACACCTCAATTGTTTCCAGCAGGATTACGATCACACCAAATGCCCCTTTCACATAGGGAAATGGGACACACTCTGCCCCTGCAGTAATTGCCTTCGCCACCAGGAGGGCCGGTCCAACCCAGTCTGACTTGGCATTAGTTTTGAATGCCCGCAATGATGTAACGGTAGGCTTGCGAGAGGGACTGGTGGGGAATGTGTTGCTGGTGGCCATGGTGGGCGAAGGCAAGCTGACGATTCCCAGAAGAGCCCGATGCTTCCGCCGCTGCTGATCCCAGGGCAAGAAGCAGGATAAATCAATAGCATGGCGATGTCATTCGGAACGAGCCGCGGTGTATCCACTTACCGTAAATGTGCTGACAGTTGTGGGAACTATGATCTGCCTACTGAAGAATTCGCGGCGGCCATTCCAAACTGATGCCTGGCTAACGATACTTTGTTTGGAAGTGGTTGAATTTTGAAATCTAACTAATTCTTGATTTGTTGATATAATATATGGTGTAAGCCTTGGCCAAGAGAGTATTGAAACAAGTCGCTGGAGCCCGAGACGCCAGTCCTACGGCTGTGAGTCCCAAAATAAGAAGCAGGATAAGTACACCGGCGTTATCTACGTTCCGAGATGTATCCACTGGTCAGACATGTGATGACACTTGTGGGAAGTGCACTCGACCGATACACCGATGAAGCGCAAGAAATGTAACTAGCAATTCTTTTTCTAGTACTTATAATCCTCAGCATTTCATGGCGTCCATTTTTGCCTCAGATTTGACGGAGTTCTTAGGCAATATGATGGAATATAGTATCTCGGGCGCACAAATAGCTATGTAATAGAAGCACAACACGGTGCACTGATGCACAGGACAAGGGATGTTCTTTTTGGAACTTACCGGGGTGTATGACGTGCAGTGTCTCGGGGTGCGTAGGAGCGAGGTGTGCATTCAAACGGCACGCCCCTCATCGCACGAAGGTTCCAAGATGTGACAAAACAGCCCATCCTTCTTGGTAATCCACTCCACAGTATCTTGAACAAATTTTTGAACCCACTTTGTCGCGTGGGATACTTTCTACAAGGTTTATGTTATTTTGAGTTCAGTTCGGCAAAACACGCGCACGTACGGCTCTGGACTGTATCGTTACGGTGGCAGGTGCCTGGGCTGGGGATCGTCCGTTTCACTCACTCCCCCTAGGTCGGAGGCCCAGGCCAATGGTCCGGGAAGTGCGAAGGAGTCAGGATATGAGAAGGATAGGCCTCGGGGCCAACCCACCTGACCGGCACAGCGCAAAATCGGTGCACTGTCAGGGTCCGTTATTTTTTGGTTTGGCAGGAGGCTTGATGACAAGAATATCTGCCTACCTTAGAACAGCCGTCGGTGCCCAAAAGTGCGGCCCACGGGAGTCGGATCGAGTAAGAATATATATGCCATCCATGCAAGCTGTCTTCGGCAAATGATATCTATCATCCGACCTGTTACTGTGGAGCGGCCAGTCCCTCATAGTGGGCTGTGGGGCCACTGTGTTGCATGGCATGTACGAGGACTTTTCGGGGAGGGGAACGGAAAGAAATGACATAGTATCCTGCCATTATCCTAGTACCGGTCCCAAAGTTGAGGTTTTCCAAACCACATGAACCTCCTCTAATACTGGACTCATTCAACCGAACAACTCTGCTTGACAACCTTACTATTATGTATGTTTTTCACTCAAAATAGTCTATTTACACTGATATAGATTACTTATGCCTCACAACAAGTTTCACTGGAACCCTCCCGCTACAAGACTGTAGAAAATCGGCTGGATGACTCGATCAATTCCTATTCCGTCATCTATCCGCGCCTATGATTCTCGCAGTGGTCCGCATCTGCATCCCGTCAATCCGTGACAGCTGATTCAGCAGATTCCGCTCGTTCGACTCGAGCCCAAGCCATGCCTCTGGGGTCTCCCCCTATTTTTACAGTGCCCATTGAATTTTGGTTCAACAAACTCACCTGCTTGGTAGAGAACGGAGTAGGGTATGGAAGGCTCGTTGGCAGACGGTCCGCATCTGCGCAGTGTACTGTTTTCCGATTATAGCTTAAGTTCAGCAGAATCCGCTCGTTCGACTCGAGCCCGAGCCACTCGTTTATTTGTAATCTCCCTCTTTTTGTTTTTGTTTTTGCACAGTAGTGGTTGAATCAACTCCATCCGAATTTTAATTCAATTCTTCCTACCTCTCTTACATTTCCCTCATCAGCACTTACCTGCAAGGTTAGTTAGAGACCAACACATATTCAAGGTCAAGAGGACGGTAGGAAGGCTCGGTGGCGGGTGTTTTTTGGGTTCCAGGTAGAAACTAACATATTCTGCGTCAAAGCAAAGGTAAGGACGCTCGGTGGCAGATGGTCCACATCTGCTTCTCATTCGACTTCGGGTCAGATTCGGCAGAAGTTCGCTCGTTCGACTCGAGCCCGAGCCACGGTCTTCTTTGCTGTCAAGCCTTTTTTCTTTTTCTTTTTAAAGTAGGTTAGAAAGCAGCTCACATATTCCAAGCCAAGAGGAGGGTAGGAAAGGCTCGGTGGCGGATGGTCCGCATCTGCGCTGTTTATTGTGTTCCTAACTTGAATTCAGCAGAATCCGCTCGTTCGACTCGAGCCCGAGCCACTACGCTTACGTTTCGGTCTTTTTTAACAATTTTGCACAGCGCTGCCGGTCGGATCTCCTCGGCGCGCACTTCGGTTCGATTTCCCGTTAGGTGTACCTCTCTCCGAGTCGCGCGAACGCAGTTACCTCGCTGGAACTTTACCTACAAACACTCGCACTACACCTCACTAAAATCAACCAACCAACCAAGCAATCAAGCAAGAAAAAAGCAATTCGAAAGCGGGTGCGGGGTGTACAGACTAGCGGTAGGTATCGCAGCGGATGAGGGAGGCTACAACGCGGCCAGCGGGAGCCGGGCGTATCTACAGTACGGCTGGTGCGTATCGTGCGTGAGTATCATGTCAAAATGTGAGGGTGGAACGTGAAATGCGTGAAATGCGTCCGTCAATGGGGGCGTGGTGTGGTGTGATATATGCGTGCGGGTCGTCGAGATGCTACATTGTGGTGGGTTGGGTGGAAGATGCAATGGGAATGGGGAAGGTGAAGATGCAAATGCAATTGGAAGAGACTTTGCTGCTCGGGAGGAAAAATTGGAATAACCCGAATCTGGCTCGGGGCGGTCGTTAGATGCAGATGTCGTGCAGCAGCGACAGCGGGGACGGCCTGCGTGTCGGCGGCACCGGCGCACTGGGATCACGATGCGCGCGCGCACGCGGGCACGGACACCAGTGTCCAGAGAAGCGTGGGGCTCGTTGTGCCGGCGCAGCAGCAGCGCCGCGACGAGCGCGGGGAGGGGGAGCGTCTCGGGCGTACCATTGGAGCCGGAGCGGAGGCGCGCGGCGCGGGAAATGAGCAGGGGTGCAGCCGGGGCAGGGGTGGAGACAGGCGCGGGAAACGGGACATCCGAGCTGGGAAAGGATGTGGCGCTCCCCGAGACGAGCACAGATGCGGGGCGCGCTGCGGGCGTCCAGCGCGGGGGCGACACGGAGGTAGGGCGGCGCCAGCCCTGGCGCGCGAGAGAGGCACGGAGGCGCGCGGCGAGGAGCGCATCCTGCGCATCCAGCTCCCCCTCTCCCGCGTCCATGCCCAGCTCACCCTCATTGAAAGAGCGCTCACGGAGCGCCTGCGATACGCTGCGCTCGATCAGGGCGGCGAAACGCAGGTCCGCGAGCGCCACGCTTGCTCGCTTGGCAGGTTTCGGCCGACGGGGCTTTGACATCGGTGCCGTCGGAGGCGGGGCCAAGGGCTGCGCGCGGCGCGGGGTCTGGACGTGCGATGTTCGTGCACGCGGGCGGCGCCACGGCTCCGCTGCTGGCTGCTCTTCGCCACATGCCCCCTCCGACTCCGACTCCAAGGGCAGGTCGACGTTCGGGAAAGGGACGAACGACGCTGCGGCCGGAAAGAGCTCAGGTGAAGCGTGGGGCGAGGCGGTGACGCTGGCGAGCGAGACCGTGCGCGTCGGTGGCGATTTGGGCGGGGAAGTCGCATATGATGAGGGGCGTAAGCCGCGTAAACGAGTGTGGGGCTTGGACCGGTTGGACGAGTCGACAAAGGGGCCTTTCAAGGCGGGGTGCAGTGCGGGGGAGATCGCCATGCCGTGGCCGTGTGTCCGGTGCGTGGTTGTTCGCGCCGCTGGGGGATGGCGGGCGCTGGGGGGCCAAGGGGTAGGAGAGGGCAGGAGAGGTGGGCGGAGGCAAGCGGAGGGTCCGAGTGTCACAATGAAAGGGTCGGGTGGGATTGATTGTCACTGTCAGATTGATGCAGTGGTTGCACCGATCAGGTGACCGTTGATGCTACCGCGCCTCGTGTTTTCGCACGCACAGCCGGCCTGACTTGTACTGCGCCCGACCGGCGATCCTGCGGCGCGGCAATCTCCAAAGTAGGGTTCGGAATCGTAAGGATTTTTTTGGGACGAAGGACGATGGGTCGAAATAATAATAATCTGTCCTTGTTCCGTTCTCGATGGAACAAGGACACTGCCCCCGGGCCACGGCGCTAAGCCGCCTTGAGGCGCGTTTCGGGTACCTACCCCAAGGGAATCAATCGTTGGTGACACGTGAAGGCTCCACCTCCCGTTGAACGTTGGACTTACGCGACCATGGTTCATGTCATTCATGTCGCGACTCCCCAGCAAGCTTCACCCAAGGTCCGGCTAAGTTGCTCCGCGTCCTATCTCTCTCGGGGCACAGTACGGCCCTTCGATGCATATCCTACGGCGCGCTGCGTCCGGATGCATATCCTCCGCCGCGGTCGAGTGCTGACTCAACCGCCCATCAGTGTTCTAGTTAAAGTTTAAGTTAACTTCAACTGCCTCCGTAGCAGCAGATCTCGATCTCGGAGCAAATGCTCGAGAGATTAATACTCCAAACTGCTTTAGTTCTCGAGAGCGAGATAATGTTCGCTCGATTAACCGTGCAAAAAGAAAACAGAAGGGTTGCGCTAGATCACGACCCGCCCCCGAATCGAACGGGGTCTCCGCTTGAATTGTTTTCCCGCACCAGCACAGCTCGCAGATGCGCACCAGCGCCAACGGGTCTCTCTAACCCTTCCTTGTTGCCTCAATTTATCCATCTCTTTCAATTTATGGAGTAAGAAAAAACCGTCTTCAAGTTCCAAGACCATGACCCGCCCCCGAATCGAACGGGGTCTCCGCTTGAATTGTTTTCTGCACCCTCATACAGCTCGCAGATGTGCACCAGCGCCAACGGGTCTTCCCTACCCTCCTCTGCTCCTCCTCTTACCGATCTCTTTCAGGGCGCCAGCGAGAGAAAAAGATTACATTGCACACGTTCATGACCCGCCCCCGAATCGAACGGGGTCTCCGCTTGAATTGTTTTCTGCATCTGCACAGCTAGCAGATGCGCACCAGGGCCAGCGGGTCTTCTTAGTCCCCATTTTCCACTCATTTTACCCATCGCTTTAGCCCGCCAGCGGAAGAAAAAGGATCGGATGACCCAGACCATGACCCGCCCTCGAATCGAACGGGCTTTCTGCTTAACCATTGGAAAACACAAGAGATTAATAGTTCGCAGATGCGCTCCAGCGCTAACGGGTCTTCCTTACCCTCTCTTTAATTTACTCGCACGTTGAAGGGTTAATTCGCGCGAGGAGGTAGGAGCGCAAAAAAAAATGGATTGCAGCCAAGAAATGACCCGCCCCCGAATCGAACGGGTTCTCTGCTTACATGCGATATAGGGGACAGCTCATAGTTCGCAGATGCGCACCAGCGCCAGTGGGTCTTTATGACCCTCCTATGCCCCTCATTTTACTCATCTCTTTCAGCGCCCGAGGGTTAAAAATATGGCTAGACACCGACGGGATGACCCGCCCCCGAATCGAACGGGTTGTCTGCTTACACTTTTATACATGCTTTCATATAGTTCGCAGATGCGCGCCAGCGCCAACAGGTCTTTCCCTTCTCCTGTGCACACCTAATTTATTCATGTGTTGAATTGTTAAATCGCGGAAGTCGCTGGACAAAAATGTGGCGGAAGTGGCGAATGACCCGCTCCCGAATCGAACGGGTGCTCTGCTTACATCAAATGCCACACGTATAGTTCGCAGATGCGCACCAGCGCCAACAGGTCTTTCCCTTCTCCTGTGCACACCTAATTTATTCATGTGTTGAATTGTTAAATCGCGGAAGTCGCTGGACAAAAATGTGGCGGAAGTGGCGATGACCCGCTCCCGAATCGAACGGGTGCTCTGCTTACATCAAATGCCACACGTATAGTTCGCAGATGCGCACCAGCGCCAACGAGTCTTCCTAGCCCCTCCTCCCTCCTGGATTCATTCATCGGTGCAAAGGGCTAATTCGTGGGAGTAGGATGAGAGAAAAATGAATCCACTAACGATCATGACCCACCCCCGAATCGAACGGGCTGATTGAATTTTTTTTTTTACCCCACCACAGATATAGTTCGCAGATGCGCACCAGCGCCAACGGGTCTTCCTAGCCCTCCTGTGTCCTTCGTTATATTACAGGACATATAGTTAAGGACAAGATTGTCAAGAACCGTATGTAAATGCAATTCGGTGTTTTCAGAGAATCTCAACCACAGAGCTGGGCTGGGCCCTTCTTGTATGCACTGCCGTCACACAGTGAACATTAATTGCGCCATACTGAGAGAAAAAAGAGACGCACCCTTTGATGCACTCGGTCGTGCATGACGCCTCCTCACCCGAGCCCTGCTCGTACTGGCAGATCGCGTACTCCTTCGGGCCCACGCCAGCTTGGGAAGGATGTGTTAGAGTGTGAGACGCGGCATATACCAGTTCGCTCACGGCATTCTGTCGCCCCTGCTGGCGCCTCCGAAGCGCACTTGCAGCCGCCTTTCCCAGGCAGGCGGAACACCTTGTCACTGCAGGCGACCTCTTCGCTGTCGCGCGGCTTCGCCGTCCCCGCCATCGTCACGCTATCGCCCTCTACCTCAATCTTTTCGCACGTATTTTGGCCCTTGGCAGTGAACGTCTCGGAGCACTTGACGGCGCATTTGACTTCACGCTTTCCGGCTGCATCGGTGGTGTCCGAACACATCATTTCGGCGTCTTCGTCGCCGAAGGCCGCTGAACAAACATACCGTGAAATTAGTTGGGTCCGGGGGGAAGGGAATCAGAGCCACAAATGACACACCGCCGCAGAATGTATCCTTCTTCTCCGTTTCGCAGATGCACCCGCGGATGGGGTCGGCGCTCAAGAATCCTACACTGCCGGCATCCGCGCCGCATTCAAGCTCGGACTTGGTCTCATTCCTTGCAGTGACGATGCACTTTCCATCCGTGAGCTCCGCTCTGAAACCAATGTGATTTGATTTAAAATGACCCGGGCGGTCAAAAAAGACACGGGAGCGTACCCTTTATTGCACTCAATCGTGC